CGGAGAGGCGGTTGGAAATGATAATTAATTTAATGTTGGCCATTACGTTATTGATTAACCAGAGGATGGCGGTGTCCGTAATTGGGACACCACTGGAAATGCTTTACCAATGCACATACGCACTGAGCTAAACACCAACCGACGATGTTATGAAATTGCATGAATGTCGCTATTTAATTCCATGCAGCCCTCAGAACCCCAACAAAACCAATTAATTCAGCGAAATATCTTCACCTAATTTTGTTATAATAATAATAATAATAATAATAATAATAATAATAATAATAATAAATAAATAAATAAATAAATAAATAAATAAACAGATAAAAATGGCATATTTGCCAGATGGATTTTAAATAGATTCACATGTATGCTCATTTCAGATGGAACTGTGAACTTGACAGGTTCTAAGAAGAAATGTGGCTGCAGAGGATCTATAAAGAGCGTTACTTTAGAATAGGTGTTATGTCTGCAAAGATGCTTATAAATTGACTCCTGTTTCCTCCGTAACTTAAATTGGGTTTGATATAATTTCTGCGGTAATACAATATGGACTAATTTTAGTACCAGGTGCAGGCAACACTCCTGAAAGTATTTGCCAAGAAAAGGACAATATACCTTAAATAACCCTGTGTCATGTTCAGATGATTTATTTTATATTTCAGATAAATACACTTGTTTTTCTCGGTTTAATGCCTTTAATCAAATAGATAAATGAGCTAATTATTTACCACAAATAGACAAAAATTTGTGTTAACACATTTAATGCTGTCTGCTTTTCCCGCAGTTTTAAGTAGGGATCGTTGACCATTGGTAAGTATGGGAAAATTGCCGTTTACTCCAGGAAAAGCCAATTTTAGGCCAAAACGAAGAGTTATTATGACTTAAACACATATAATAACAACGCTGTCAAATACACTTGGTAAACCACTGCGTGCTTGATAGAGTTCGTACAAACAATTTGATACGTTGTTCGTGGTCACTAATTTAAAGTTCGTGCCATGAAATTGTGAAATTGTGGTTCTTAAGTAATTCGGCGTTCGTGCTGACAAAAACGAGGCTAGTGGTCGCACACAGCAATTACCATCAATGAGGACTGCATATGAGAGATGAGAGATGTGGCTCAAAAATCTGAAAGAAGGGATCTCTGAGCAAACCAAGTGGCCAGTTGCACTTTTAATATTTCATTCAGTTCTTTTCAAAGATGGGAAGAGCTCACGATTGCTATCAAGATATAACCAGTAACTCACTACTGATAAATCTTTTTTTTAGCAAAATGTTCATAACCTTGGCAGTTAGATAATAAATGAAAATTATCAAACATAACGGTGGCGTCTATCTATCTGACCTTTATAAGAGGGTCCTGGTCGCTATACCTCGTGTCAACATCGTCTCACATCAGTCCAATGAAGGACTACGTCCAGATTGTCCGTAAGCTAACGGTATGAAAGATTTTCAGCTTGTGTTTGATTTTTTTTTTTTTTTTTTTTTTTTTTTTTTTGAAAAACTTGCGAAACCCGGCTTTTGGTAAAAACTTTTTAGTTATGACACAGTGCTTACGTTATCTGGAAGATTATTTGTATGTGGTTACAGTGATCAAGATATTTTTCGTTATTAATGGCAGGCGTACTCAAGTAGCACACAATTTAGGCCGTATTTTATAACAGCTTTCATATGTGTCTTGAAACAAACCTAAGGGACAATCTTCTTATAGGCATTAGAACCAAAGTTTTTCATCATTCATTGGTATCTGGTATCAGTGATTGAAGTAATTGTAGTAAATACTTGCCAAAGTATTATCTGATTTTTGATTTTATGGCAATAATATATGTCAAAAACTTTTTATTTGATAGATGCATATGAGGTCAATTTTTCCACAAAAGCCAACCAAATGCCAACATATAGTTTTAAATAGTATAACTAATATAAGTTTAAGTTAAACGAGACTTACTTGTAAGTTGAAGTTGGACTGGAATTCTGTCTTAAAAGCAAGCAAGCGAAGTCTTAACATCTGAAGAGTGCAGTCCCTCATCTCGCAGAGTCTCGCGTCATATTTTAAAGATAACTTACACCCCATTCTCATAGATTAGATCGACCTACATTGGATCGACCTAACTCCCTGGGGGTTCACGCTAAATAGCTGTCAGCCAGGCGGACACGAAAGTTAATTACCCCTTAAAGCTTGTAGTAGGCGGGAACGGACACTTAAGGGGGATTATCTGACAGTAATCTAGTGAGACTCCCCGCGGTGATAGATCGATCTAAAAGTTGTGAGAACAGAGCCTTAGTGACACATGTATCACAAGATAAATCCCATGAGAGGTGGGAAGGAACTAAGAAAGAGCAACTACTTGATTAGTCGACTTGAGATAGTGTCCTTGGAAAAGAACAGGTATGTACACCGTTTAAAGTGAATATTAATTTCAGTAAAACCTGTTCATCTGTTAACTAATCCATAGAGCAAACCTGTCACAAAATGGCGTCCGCATAAGTTGGTTAGTTTGCATTATTTCCAAAGAAAAAATCTGGCTGTGCCAAATAATTACTGTTTGTGATTTAACTGCCAAACTAATGAGCCTTTTAGCTCAACTACTACCAAGTGTTAAGGGATGTTTTGCTTTAAGTTGGTTTATCCCTGGAAATGTAACATTGCCGTTGTGTTATATCAATATCAAACTATCCACGCCCTACTTTTAATCCATTTTGATGATGGTGTACTATAAAAGCATCATGAGAACAAATTTATGCTAGTCGGCACCAATACCAAAACCATATAGTGAATTAGAATTCCTGAATTGTTTTACAGGAAGATCGACTTTGCGTTTTGGACGTTTCAAGGCCAGAAAGCAGTTAACCATAACAACACTCGTTTGGCATTCCAGCGTTCCAGTTAGAAATTACCAGATGTCTTCTAAAAATGCACGAAGAAATTTAACGAACCGCAAGATTTCAAAAGCCACGTGCAGCAAACGGAAATAAGTTTACCTCTAGTTGGACGCAGCAAACCGATTCCAATTGAAACATTCCCCAAAGAATTCACATTTAAATATGACGCATTCAAAATGGCTGAACCGAACTGTGTGGACGAGGAGGACTTAAATAAGTTCCGGAAACAGCCTCTCAACGTTGAACTAATGCAACAGAGCGCTGAACAACTGAGGGGAGTATTACGGATAATTGACAATGGCGTCTTCAATAAGTCTATAAGCCGTTCTAAGTGTGGATGGAAGAGCGCTTTTGATGAAATAAAGTTACAAAATTTATCCCCGACTGCTGCTGTCCATGTTGACATTCTCTGTCCTCTAATGGTTCCTGGCGGATACTCCTTTCAACATTTCTTAGACGGTATTCTACCCAAGATTGTCCAAGCCCTTGATTTATTGCTGAACAAAGGCGTAAAAATCTTGATACCTTTAAGTAGAGATGTAATTATGTTGGAGATCTTGGGAGCACTTGGAATCGGAAAAGATAAGGTTCTTTTCCACGCTGGTAAAATTTACGCAGCAAAGAAGATGATCTACACGTGTATTACGCCGCCATTACACCCGACCCTGTGGCAAAATGCACACAAACTTATGAACGCTCCTGAAAAACTCCCTGTACCTCGTGAGGAGGCATATGTCATTTTGTTAACCAGAAAACAGAGTCATAATGGGGGAAGAAACATGCTGAATCAGATAGAAGTACAGACGTTTCTAGAAAAAAGATACGGGAAAGAGAAAATTATAGTCTACCCGGGAAGGTACAACCTCACAACATCTGTGAGCGTTTTTGGGCGTGCTCGCCTAATGATTAGTGTTCACGGAGGCGCCCTGTATAATCTAAATTTTGCCTCAAGCGACGTCAGCGTTGTAGAAATACTTCCGTCAGATGGCGCAGGTAACCTTCTGCACCAGGGAATCGCTCACCTCATCTTTTGGTCCATGTGCAATATGTTGAATCAGTCGTATTGGAGAATTTATAATAAAGCGGAAACACGGAATGGTAACGTAATCAGGCCTACCCAACTGCCAGACTCGGCACCTAAGGATCCTGAATTAACCGGTATATCGGATCACACTANGTCGGTGTTCTGGCTGATACTCCGAAATGCGATCTGACACACACCTTGAAAACGGGTAGCGTGGTCCGATGTACCGGTTAATTCAGGATCCTTAGGTACCGAGTCTGGTAGCTGGGTAGGCCTGAGGTTGGCGGTGTACAGGAAACGCCCGCATTTCGTAGTATACGCGTATAACGCTGGTTTTCTGTCATCGACATGTTAATTTACTTATTTATTTATCTGAAAATCACTAACAATACATAGTTTTGTAAGTATTTATAGTTGCTGTGCCATACTACTCAGGGGTAGATCCAGGATTATTTGAAGGGGGGTCCGTGGATGCGAACCCGACCTCCCCCCCAATTGACGTGGGGTCCATAAATCGAAAGGGGGGCCAGGACCCCCCTGACACCCCCCTAAATCCGTCACTGCTATTGTAGTGCAGAGCAGTTGACGTCGTGAGAGGAGGAGAAAAAAAGAAGCACAACCAAAACATTGATCCCGTCTCTCGAGCTGCAGCTTCACAAGTGGATGAGAGAAAAAGAATATTTGCTACAATATTATCATAATAACGGCCACTCACTGATACAACGCTATGCAAAAAGGAATGAATGAGAAGGACGAAAGTGAGCGAGTACATAAAAAGAGTGATTCTTTGAAACACGTCAGTCGCACAGATTGTGTGTGTAATATTTACATAACCGTTTTATATCACGTTTAAATTAATGTCCTTTTTTGTAAGTGGTGGGCACTATAGCAATAAAACATAATTGGGCAAGTCAGAATTATATATTAACATATTAAAAGAGAACACAAAATATGTGCCTGACCGACACGATTTAGAGAATCCCCTTCTGTGTATTGACCCAAAGAGCGCTATCTTTCCCTCGTGACGGACGACCGACAGCACCCCCCGGCCAGGGTGACACCAAGCGGATCGGGAAATGGACAAGTTATCGCGTTAGCCGCAAGGAATGTGCTCAAGCGCGTGAGGACATAAAGAGAAAGACGTAGTCACTTGTCTTTCGCAGGGACGTGTATCACATGGCAAATGTGCGAATTCTGAAGTGTGAAATACTATTTAGTTGCAGTCCCATGATGGATTCACCATTTTAAAGGTATTTATGACCAAGATACATTACATGTTTTAGTCAGGATTAAAAATATTCCTAGCATGCCGGGGAAGCCTTTGAAAGAGAAATGAAATAATGCTCCATGGGTGAAGGATGTTGCATCATAGCGACCCTCGTGTAAACTAAGTAGATACTTGAACTCATTAGACCTACTGAAATCACACTGAAACAACTCAAAACATTATAAATATGTAAAACTTATGCTTCATTTTTAAATAAAGATGATATTGGTAACTCGTAATTTTGCATAATCATGTACACATATTTATAACTGCAACCGAAATCTTGTAGGTAATATCATAAATTGATGTCTAATTTTCCCTAAACACACCTTCAGTCCTGGGCCCCATTTCGAGGCTATTAGGGTCTATATGGTGCGAGTATATGCAGAGTTAAGGAATCGAGACGCTTTCGCTTGGTCGCAATTTGCGGTACTTACGAGTTACGGAGCCCTGATCGGGCAGCAAACACGGGAGTTCAATATCTTTTAAATAAGTAGTATTAGTACCTTTTCTTGGTTTATACACTCGACCAAAAGGTTCGGAAACATTAGATCTTTTTTTTTTTAACTATGAAATGCAGTGGGAAATTCTTCAGTGTTTGTAAAAAGTAACGAAAGGTGGGTGCATTATCCATGAAAATATAGTGAAAATATTTACCTTAGCTCACAGGGTCTTTTATGATAATTCAAAATAACGATGTTTCCTAAATTTTTGGTGGAATGTATATTTACCCGTAAATGTTCTACCAGCACATGTACCTGTGGCACTCGACAGGTAGAATTTCTTACTGAAATAAACGCCGGGGTCTTTTCGACATGTAGACGAAAGGACCGATAAAAGCAAGATTTATGACACCCCGGCCGTGCACCGTGTAATCAGCCCTCTCCTTACGTAGTCAGAACCATTTGTTTTGACGCTTTACCTTCTTGATCTTTCTTGATATTAAAAGGTGCCTGCTCCGCCATTTGCGAAAATGGTTCAAAATATCCCTGTACCTTTCTTAAGTAAAACCCTTTTAGTTAAAATAATGAGTTTTTTTTCCGTGGCTGTAGCATCAGGTCTTTTATAAATTGAGGTTTGTTATGTTTTATACCTCGCTAACATAATTGACCGTGTTCCTGAGGCCCAATCTTTGCTACAAACGTTTCAAACAATACGTGTAAAATTATAATTATTATTATTATTATGAAATGAAAATTAATTTGATTTGTTGATGTTTGTTGAATTTATGCTTCAGTAGGATAACGAAGTATTGTATTAGTAGATTGTATTCCTTTGTTGTAAAGTAAATGGCTTACGTTTTCACTAATTGCAGATAATATACAGACAGACAGACAGACAAACAAACAAACAGGGGTGAAAACAACAACCTTGGCGAGGGTTAAAATACAGACTGAGAAAAAGGGGAATCCCGCGTTCTCTTTATTCACCTTAATTTAAGGCAAACTTTGTAGTTGCTACTTGGTCATACCAGGGGCTGATCCAGGATTATTTGAAGGGAGGTACGCGGATGCAAAGCCAAACCGCTTCCCCCCTCTTGACGTAGGGTTCGGGGCCCAGTGAAGGGTCCCGAAAATTTTTTGGTATTTTAGAGGGCAAACGGTGCCATTTGATACCGTTTAGAACTGTGATTCAGTTAGTCAAAATTCTAATTTCAATAGGGGACCACTGGTGTGATTTTTTTTTCAGAAATCAAGGGGGTTAGGACCCCCCTGAACCCCCCCCCCCCCCCCTTAATCCGACACTTTATAAAATTAAAAAGTCGTAATTCCTACCCGTAAACGCAATGCATTCTTCTTCTTCTTCTTCTTCTTCTTCTTCTTCTTGGTTGTTTGCCGCGAGGTAGGTTTAGCGTCTCCCACACCATCCGTCTCGATCTGCAGTCCTTCGTTTGATCTCACCAAAACTTTCAGATCGTTTTCTCTCTTCTTGCGCCGGTGGTCGAACATTGTCTTTCTCTTTCTTCCTTTGCCTCTTTTACCATTTAACCTGCCTTCAATGACATCCCTAAGCAGTCCATGATGTCTCATAACGAATACGAAGCTTTGTAATGATGATGTCAAAAATAAATTCGTGAGAAAATTTTTAAAAAAATCTTAGGTACGGGTATTTTAGTCGGCACCAATACCTATAACATATTACGTTCTGGTTCAGTAAATTTATAATTTTTATATTATTTCTCTGACTTATCTTGCAGGAGAACCGGGTTTCTGTCCTTCAAAGGCCATACAGCGGTTTCTGAAGAAACAGTTTTTGCCAATCCAATCCAGCCAGAAACGACCCTGAAGATGTCTTCTAAAAATGCACCCCTCCTTCAAGCGGTCTACGTGACGGTGTTAGTCTACATCCTGGTGCAAATCCACTTGACCGGGGTTTTTGTCATCACTTTCAACAGCAGTGTGTCCGATTTGGGGAATAATGAGCAGTATGACGCCTTGAAAGCCTACTCTCAATCTCGGTTGGTTTATTTTAAAAGAAGCAGAAGTCAATCAGACGACGCAATTATAAACCACGATACAGATAAGTCACGTGATCCTGAGGTCGCTTCCGACATGTGGAACTCACTCGATGTAGACAGCATGCGCACTATAGGCGGCTATTTAAGCAATCAGGACAGCAAACACGTTCTTAAAAAAGAGGTGTCCCAGCAAGCTTATGGAGTCCACAAATTCCAAAATCATGCGCAGCAAACGGAAATAAGTTTACCTCTAGTTGGACGCAACCAACCGCTTTCAACTGCAACATTCCCCAAAGCATTGGGATTTAAATATGACGCATTCAAAATGGCCGAACCGAACTGCGTGGACGAGGAGGACTTACAAAAATTCCGCAAACATCCACACAACGTTCAACTTATGCAACAGAAGGACAAACAGCTTAGAGGCGTTATACGGATTGTTGACAATGGCGTCTTCCATGGTTCGTTCCGCCCTCCTGGGTGCGGCTGGGAGAGTGCTTTTGATGAAATAAAATCAGAAAACTTATCCTGGCCTGCAGCTGTCCATTTTGATGTTTTGTGCCCACTGATTGTCCCCGGCGGATCCTCTTTCCAACATTTCTTAGACGGTGTTCTGCCCAAGATTGTCCAAGCCCATGATCTGTTGCGGAACAAAGGCGTAAAAATCTTGATACCTCGCAACAGAGATAAAATTATATTGGAGATCTTGGGAGCACTTGGTATCGAAAAAGATATGATTCTTTTCCACGCTGGTGGAATTTATACAGCAAGGAAGATGATCTACACGTGTATAACGCCGCCATTACACCCGACCCTGTGGCAAAATGCACACAAACTTATGAACGCTCCTGAAAAACTCCCTGTACCTCGTGAGGAGGCATATGTCATTTTGTTAACCAGAAAACAGAGTCATAATGGGGGAAGAAACATGCTGAATCAGATAGAAGTACAGGCGTTTCTAGAAAAAAGATACGGGAAGGAGAAAATTATAGTCTACCCGGGAAGGTACAACCTCACAACATCTGTGAGCGTTTTTGGGCGTGCGCGCTTAATGATTGGTGTTCACGGAGGCGCCCTCTATAATCTAAATTTTGCCTCAAGCGACGTCAGTGTTGTAGAAATACTTCCGTCAGATGGCGCAGGTAACCCTCTGCCCCAGGGAATCGCTCACACCATCTTTTGGTCCATGTGCAATATGTTGAATCAGTCGTATTGGAGAATTTATAATAAAGCGGAAACACGGAATGGTAACGTAATTGTGGATCTCTTCAAACTGGGTCGGGTTTTGGACAGGATTGACCAGCAGTTCGGATATTTTTTAACAAATTAGTATAATTTATTATAGGTTCTATTAAACGTGATAATAACTGAAATCTGTAAAATAACGTATTTTATAAAAATATTTTCATGAATGCTCTCTTTTTTTTTTTTTTTTTTTTTTTCAAAAAATACCTGTGTGCTTCTTCATTTTGTGGACGTTCTCAGCGCATTTCTTTTCATTATTCTCAAAGTTTTGTGCTGGTTAAATAGTTTTTTTTTTCATACATGTTCAAGTTGAAATAGAAATAAAATCAAATGAATATCAACAGAGAAAGGGTAATTAATGTTTTCTTTATTCATAACACTGAAACGAAGTAAAGTTACTACAGGTTAACAATATTATTATTGGTGAAATACAAGGATAGGTATACATGAACATCGATTGTATATGATAGATGTATTGATAGGGTTAATGAGCACCATTATATAATATAATATAATATATATATAATATAATATAATATAAAAACCGTTTAATGCGAAATTATTGTCTTGCTTTTGGCTAATTCTCGGCATCAGTACTAAGAACATGCTTAAAATGTCCAATTCTAAAGTTATACTACAACATATTTATTCGCTTCAATAGTTAACACTCTGGAATTTATAATCCGTTCGCAAGGATCAATTTTACGCTACATGTATGTTATTGATAGACACACACAGTGCTCACATGCTCAATTATGGAACATTTCGAAAGATACAGATATAACCATTGCTTCAAAAATGTGATGATTGCCTAAAGAAAACTTAGATCGCATTCACAACGAGTTGAGCCATGGCTTTACAAATCCACTAAATATGGCGGACGTACATGAAAGAAAAACCGCCTAATCTTTTGATAGTCTCTCCGCCTCTCACACGCCTCCCCACACGTCGTCCCTGCGACGAATTGCAAAATAGGTGGCTTTCAAATGTCAAAATTCTGGACAAAAAAAAAAAAGATAATAAAAACGTTATTATCTAACTAAACAAAAAATGTAAAATTACAATAACTAATATTTAAATATCCGTGTATTTTTTCACATAGCCAAAGCAATGCCCAATCCTGCATTTTTCCTTTAATGGGCTTCTTTTTTCGTACCTAGAAATCCCACGCGGCTACCGCCATCGCCATTAGCATCAAAAGTCCTTTGCTACCGGCTTGAATGTTTCCTCGGTTGTGCTTTGGGGTTGAGATCGTGGTCGCACCATAAAATGACGTCGCGGAGCCGTCTTTCATGGCGTTCGGCGAGCAGGCAGAGAACGACGCTGCACGTATTCCTATGGGTCCACCGGGAATATCCAACTGCACATTTCGCAGAGCATTTTCCATCCATGCTTGTACTTGGTCGAAAACCTTAAGACCTTCCTCGTGGTTTGCAAGGCTCGCGTAAAGGACGAGCAATGTTTGAACGAGAAAAGTGACGGACGAGTTCTCCCCGCTGTGTTTCGGACTACAGGAAACAATACGCGCATTCACGGCTTGCAATACCTCTATTATTCGATAATTAAGGTCTATATCACTACAACTATCCCCCGCTGTTGGAATCCAGCCGCAGGGTTCAAAATTCAAGTAAACTATTGACTTTAATACCGTGAAATTATACAGAATAGGGCGGCAGCCCTGGTCATCTGGAATATACCCCAGGGGACAAAGCTCCTGATTTATAGCCTGGAGAAAAAGAGAACGTGTGTGGATGTGTGGTACATGTATCATATTCAATAACAAATGTATTACGTAGCAACAGTCGAGCTAAAGCTCATGTATTTACGAATAACGACAGTCTAAGACCATAAAACCAACACAGGACTGCTGACACTAATGGTATTAAAATGTTAACATAAACTCGGGAAAGAATTAGTAGAGTAACAGTCCCTAGGTCCCTAAGCTGTTTGATTATTTGCAATTTTAAATATCATCATCGTTATAACTTTATCGTAATTTGCTTTCTCACCAAATCCATCAGGTCGTTCATTTGTTTTCTGTCTTGATCTCCGACGTGCAACAGAGAGCGGAAAGATAAGCCACCGAATTTCGAATGCGACGATGCGGAGCTCTGATCTGAATATAACATTGAACAGTAAATTAGTACCAGTGTTTTTTTTTTATATGGTGGACATTGTAAGCTACACGTTGCTGCTATTGTCTCATAGTTATAGTTTTAAAATACTAGGATTGTTCGGGCTTAAAGCCAAAACTATCATCCAATGCTCCAAGACTCGATTGTGAGCCCGGTCGCTCAGTTAAATCAGAATACGGTTGTGTAATGATAGCCTACTAGTAAAACTTTCCTCTTGTGATAGAAATTACCAAGTATATTCTATAATGTGTTCCTCAATATAGTGTCAAACTTTTTTCCATATTTGCAAGTGTAATTTATGTATAAAAGTTTTGTTTTACAAAGTCTAAAATAATTACACTGATGACCGCTAACCGCACGAAAACGAAGTAGATACTCCAGCGCAGTAGACTACTGCAATCATACTGCAAACATGCTTCAAATCTGCTTCGATTGGGGAGCTAATTAGCATATTTGAAACATGCTTCTATCATGCTGCTGATCTACTGCATTAATGCTCCTCTCTGTACAAACCTATGTACTTTTTGAAGTAGAATTGCAGTAGGCTATACTGCATTTCTACTGCAAATATGCTCCACACCACTACTGCGTTAATGCTTCTTTGCTACTTCGATACTACTGCATTTTCGTGCGGGTAACCACACTAAATTTGCCAATCTTTCATAAGGCGTCAGTAAAAGGCATAACTCTGTCCGGCATAACTCTGTCCTTTCAGAACAATTTATAACTCCTAAACAATAGGAAGACATATATTGCCGGTAATAAGGCAAATTTGACCTTGACATTTTGATGGGAGTTACTGGGTTGCTTAGTAGTACTGACTCGTGCTCTTCTAGCTTTCTTATGGTAGTAACGGTCAAGGTCACAAGAGAAAAGGCGTCAATTTGATTGCTCATATTGGCTGGCTAACCCGTCACATTGAAAGGAAAAAAGGTTCCAGTCTAAATCTTCAAGTCACGGGCAAGGTATGAGGTAATTACTTAGAAACAATTGAGACATATATATTTCACACTCGATAAAATGGAATAGCATCCTTAACGTCTTAGAGCTCATTCCATCCCAATGAAACCTACGTAGCTCTACGTAGATCTTTAAGCGATGCTCGGCAGTAAATATACTTTTGGAAAATTACCCCTATCCAGTTTTGCTTGCTACTACAGGAGAACGGAAATGAATCACCTATACTATTCAAAAGATAAATTTAGAAAAAGGAACAGCAAAACGCACCACTTACCTTCGCAGACTTTAACTGGACCTACATAACAAAGTAGACAGTGAACGTTCTTGTAACTTTGATCCAAGCCACTTATGACAACAGGGTTGTTGTACGCCATACAGGCATCTCGTAAGGCTGAGTGCAGAGGGAGTGGACGAGGCAAACGATATGGACTTCCATTGGTATATCTGAACCGACAAGGACCAAACGCATGGTTCTCAACATCCCGGAAGCAAGTCTTCACCTTCCACTCCTGTTTGGGCTCAAACATACCACTGCAACCAGCAGCTTCCAGTTTTTTTATAACACAAGATGAGGACCTGCAATTAGCAAAATGCCCAGCGTCTTCCCCCAGGCAGAAGACGACAAGTTCCCACGGGTCCCAGCCGTTTGCGATACCATTACACGCTGCACAGTACTTGTTTCTGAAGGTGATCTCTGTAGCTGGGTCGGTGACTGGCCGGTGCAAGATGGCGTCCTCTGAGAGACTGGCATTTGAAGTATCAGTACACTTGATGCGACTTTCCTCTTCTTTCCAAGATGACGGGCATTCGTCAACCATCCAAAAACTCAGTCCAAAAGTGTCCAAATGGGGTAAGATGGTTTGTTGGTTTTGTCGATGTAATGCTGGGCTTCTTCTACAAGAGCTTTTATGTACGAGGGAAATAACCGTAGGATCGACTTGTTTTTTCTGCCTTGTCCAAGAGCACGTTTTGTTAGAAGATGCAGTAGAAGTGGTGTTACTACTGGGAGTTTCTGTTATATTACATGCAGGAGTTGCTACAAGTTGCAATGTATTTTTTGCCTTTGTTAATCTGACAGAGGCGGCGCACACCGTCATATTTTCAGTCAGTCCATAACAGCAGTCGCCATACAGGACGCACTGAGGGTCGCAGTTGCAGTAGACCTTGATGCTGCTTACACGCATTCCCTGAATTACACATAGCCATTTGTTCGCAGGCAGACTTTCGTCAGAGTAAGAAGAGGACCTCTTCGCTGATTCTGAGGATTTACTGCCGTTGTTCCAACTTTCAAGTAGGATATCCTCTTGATTGAACGGCCCCAGCGTGATTCCCCCGTGCTTTCTACCCTCAGTAGTGGCCGATTCTTGTGTGATTCCCTCGTCCATTTCACTCTCATGATCAGTAGTGGCCGATTCCTGCGTGATTCCCTCGTGCATTTCATTCTCGGTAGTGGCCATTTCCTGCGTGATTTCCTCGTGCATTTCACCCTCAGTAGTGGCCGATTCCTGCGTGATTTCCTCGTGCATTTCACTCTCAGTAGTGGCCGATTCCTGCGTGATTCCCTCGTGCATTTCACTCTCAGTAGTGGCCGATTCCTGCGTGATTCCCTCGTGCATTTCACTCTCAGTAGTGAGCGATTCCTGCGTGATTTCCTCGTGCATTTCACCCTCAGTAGTGGCTTGTTCCTGCATGATTCCCTCGTGCATTTCACCCTCATTCGGGGTAGTCATCGTTGTCTCTTCTGGCACTCCAGTTCCAGAAAAGGGTGTTTCCCTAGTGGATCCCTCAAGCGGCCAAATTTGTAGATTGGGTGACTCTTGTGTGGATCCAGCGGTGTGACCATTTTCTAGAATCATAAGCAGCACAGCTGTCGGTTGTACAAAGGCCAGTATGCATAAAGTAATGCGGATGATCATCGTGTTTCCGAATAAAGAAATGTGTGACAAAGAGTAGCGTTCGTTGAATTATATATTCCGCTCACGACCCCTTGGTATAATTTATGTCACAACCCACCAGCAGCGTTGCATCCACCTTAGCCAATGAGTTAGATGCATTTCGAGACATCATTTGACAGAAGGGCAGAAACCACTAAATAGGCCAATAACCGACTGTTATAGATGAATGTAGTTCAGTGAGAGAAAATTAGTGGATTTTTCCTTTTTTCCTGGTATTTCTTGTGTGTTGCTAGGGTTTTGTTTCTAGGTAATTTTGGTATCAGCTAGCAGGCTAGGGTGTAAACTACTGCCAGTTTTTTTTTTTTTTTTTTTTTTTTCAGGACCAGGCACAGGTGCGGTGCAGTCGTGAGACCTGTGGCGTGGGGCAGTGGTTTGTTTACAGAAGAGGGGTGCACATGTTCAAGTAATGCCGGTAGGAAATAATGTCTGGTGACAGTATATTTTTGTGCCATTGGGAGTTATGTCAGTGTGTCTGGAATCCATGGGGATGAAAATGTTTCACCCAGTTATTTTGTTCATGCAGCTTTGCAGGCATTTCTTAGTATGGTCGTCAATGGGAAATTATTTGGTGGTTTCTGCCCAGAATAACAGTAGGTGTGTAATCGGATTCTTATTTCGAGTTTTCCATTTCGGAGAAGCGGTCGGAAATGTTAATTAGTATAATGTTGGCCATTACGTTATTGATTAACCAGGGGATGTCGGTGTCCGTAATTGGGACACCACTCGAGTTGCGTTACCAATGCACATACGCACTGGGCTAAACACCAACCGACAATGTTATGAAATTGCATGAATGTCGCTATTTAATTCCATGCAGACCTCAGAACCCCAACAAAACCAATTAATTCAGCGAAATATCTTTACCTAATTTTGTAATAATAATAATAATAATAATTAATTATTATTATTTTGCAATAATAATAATAATAATAAATTATTATTATTATTTTGCAATAATAATAATAATAATAAAGTTAAAAAAACAGATAAACAGATAAAAATGGCATATTTGCCAGATGGATTTTACATAGATGAACATGTTCATTTCAGATGGCACTGTGAACTTGACAGGTTCTAAGAAGAAATGTGGCTGCAGAGGATCTAGAAAAAGCGTTACTTTAGAATAGGTCTTATGTCTGCAAAGATGCTTTTAAATTGACTCCTGTTTCCTCCGTAACTTAAATTGGGTTTGATATCATTTCTGCGGTAATACAATATGGGCTAATTTTAGTACCAGGTGAAGCAAAACTCCTGAAAGCTTTTGCCAAGAAAAGGACAATATACCTTAAATAACCCTGTATCATATTCAGATGATTTTTTTTTTATATTTCAGATAAATACACTTGTTTTTTCTCGTTTTAATGCCTTTAATCAAATAGATAAATGAGCTAATTATTTACCACAAATAGACAAAAATTTGTGTTAACACATTTAATGCTGTCTGCTTTTCCCGCAGTTTTAAGTAGGGATCGTTGACCATTGGTAAGTATGGGAAAATTGCCGTTTACTCAAGGAAAATCCAATTTTTGGCCAAAACGAAGAGTTATTATGACTTAAACACATTTAATACCAACGCTGTCAAATACACTTGGTAAACCACTGCGTGCTTGATAGAGTTCGTACAAACAATTTGATGCGTTGTTCGTGGTCACTAATTTAAAGTTCGTGCCATGAAATTGCGAAATTGTGGTTCTTAAGTAATTCGGCGTTCGTGCTGACAAAACCGAGGCTAGTGGTCGCACACAGCAATTACCATCAATGAGGACTGCATATGAGAGATGAGAAATGTGGCTCAAAAATCTGAGAGAAGGGATCTCTGAGCAAACCAAGTGGCCAGTTAAACTTTTAATCGTTCATTCACTTCTTTTCAAAGTTGGGAAGAGCTCACGACTGCTATCAAGCTATAATAAGTTACTCACTAGTGATAAATCTTTTTTTTTTTAGCAAAAATGTTCATTAGCTTGGTAGTTGGATAATAAATGAAAATTATCAAACACAACGGTGACGTCTATCTACCTGACATTTGTGAGGGTCCTGGTAGCTATACCTCGTGTCAACATCGTCCCACATCAGTCCAATGAAGGCCTACGTCCAGATTGGTCGTAAGCTAACGGTATGAAAAATTTTCATCTTGTGTTTGATTTTTTTGAAAAACTGGCGAAAACCGGCTTTTGGTAAAATCTTTTTAGTTATGACGCAGTGCTTACGTTGTCTGGAAGATTATTTGTATGTGGTTACAGTGGTCAAGATATTATTCGTTATTCATGGCAGGCGTACTCAATTAGCACCCATTTTAGGCCGTATTTTATAACAGCTTTTATATGTGTCTTGAAACAAATCTAAGGGACAATCTTCTTATGGCCATTAGAACCAAAGTTTTTCATCACTCATTTGTATCTGGTAACAGTAATAGAAGTAATTTCAGTAATAACTTGCCAAAGTATTATCTGATTTTTTTATTTCATGGCAATACTATATGTCAAAAACTTCTTACTTGAAAGATGCATATGAGGTCAATTTTTCCACAAAAGCCAACCAAATGCCAAAATAAAGTTTTTTAAAAATAGTACAACTAATATAACAAAGAGTGATAACAAACGACTCCTTCTCACATTACCCCAAAAATTGACATTTGAATGATTTTTATTTATTTTTATTATTTTTTTTATTATTATTATTTTATTTTATTTTATTTATTTTTTTATTATTTTTTTTTTTTGCTTGCTTTCTGCCCTGTATATAAATTGGCCAAATTTGAAGATTATACAGCTTACAGCTCTTTTGGATCATCAAGTGATTAATTCAGTTTCTCCCTTGGCATGTCGACTTCATTTGAGTCATGTAATAACTAGTAGAAGTGGTTTATATGCGTTACTTGGAATCCACGCTCCACCGTTGCTAGCTCCCTCTGTACCCGTACTTTTAATCAAATTATGCCAAAGCTTAGTAGAGTCATTTGTTTGAGCTAATAAAAATACCTGATGAGCTAAGTTGTAAATTTATTTTATTCATCAGAAAAAACAGCTTTAAAAGGATCAAGTTCATTCAATAATAATTGTCCCATCTCCTGTTAAGTTAAAAATTATGTAATGTGAATATACCCATTTAACAACATATTTTAGTCAGAATTTTATTCTGTAATTAATTTCATTCTGTATTACAGTGTTTTGCTGAATCCCCGCATTATAGTGATCCCGTTTATGTCGCAAACAAATGCCTTACACCAAATCTGAAGGATAATCCGTCGGAAAAGACATCTTTCATTACGTACAGGGCCTATGTAGAAATTGCTAAGGTATTACATGTAACACGGTATAATAGACATGAAACTGAAGAATAATCTTGGATCCACTGGCAGCTATTTCAAATGTATTTAGAATCTCCTTTGTGTCCAGATTTCCGCACTTTGAAGGGAATGTTTGGCTTAAACATTCTCAATTTAAAACGTCCAGCAATCATGGTTGCTTACATGTACCTCTTAGAAGCTCACTTTTCGTCCATCTCTGCCCCCCCCCCCAACACACACCACCCACACACACACACACACACACACACACACACACACACAGGGAAGCTTTCCAATTTTATCCTGTTCATTGATCAAATGCCAGTATTATATTGCTATACAGATGTACTACTCCAGTGCCCCTTTATGTGAGACAAACAACTTCTTCGACTATCGGCCTTGACCCTTCTCAGGGGGTCGGCGCATGGTACGCCTCTACCTCCACCGGTCCTGCCTTTGGCTCTCCTTAATCCTGCCCCCTGCATATCCTCTTTTAAAGCTTGCAAGAACCTTTTCTTTGGTCTCCCTCGATTTCTCTTTCCTGGTGGTTTCATTGCCAGCATTCTTTGCCCTACCGGTACATAGCCCTACGTTTCTTCCCTCCTGCCGACATTTACATACCATTCACCACTTTACAGATACTTACAAAATCGCTGCGCGCATGCGTGAGAATTGTATTGTGGGAAAAAATACAGCAAAACAAAAACAGCGAGTATCCGAATAATGGAGAATAACCTCGACGATCACACACTCTGGTCCATGATTGTAAAATTAGCGGGCAATGGGGAATACCTACGTTGAGGGTCTGCCGCTAGATGGCGTGGGGGTGAAAGCAGTCCTTTTAAAATCTCGCAGAATCTCGCTCGCGGCTTTACACCAGAGTTTAACATGGAACTTGGGCACGCGTCGCTGACCGTAAACGAACTTAAACGCAAATTACTCGAATGTGGAGCATTAACAACTGGAAGGAAATGTGAATTGATTGAAAGGTATGTGTTCTCTTTCCATTTAGTGCTTGAAAAACACAAATGCTAACTATTTTCTTTGAAAAAATTAAAGATTAGTCGAGGTGTGTATGAGCGTCAAATCTGTCATGTTATGTAGCCTATATACGAGCATGCTCATATTTTTCATTTAGAAACACTGGTCAAACACGCATTCTTGTCGCTGTTTTTTTAAATAAACTTCAAAGGAAAAAAAGGTCGATAGTGACTTATACAAGAGCAAATATGTTTAAATTGATTTGTAGTAAAATCGGCTCATTTTTCACGATTAAAACACATGCTTTTCTACGAACTTACTAAAGATGATTAAGCCGTTTCGCCAACACGCTGCACGTACGAAATTATGGGGATAATGATGTCAGTATTTTTTATAAAAACAGACTTGACAATGTGTTACATGACCTGTGCATTGTTTTACTTGCTTAAACTATATATAAGGGACATGTTACAAATGTATCTGAACATACTTATCTGCAGTATACCCTCCAAACTTTTGCATTGTAAGTCTCCTTTTGCGATGTACTTATACATATTCAATTTCAACCTGTGTATTACTTTTGATCAGTGTAATGTACTGAGCATTTTCTATTTTAACAAGTTAGTTTGGCAATTTTCTAAAAATGTCGCAGTTTCCTTTAGTCAGATGACACTGGCTATTTTATGATCAAATTTGCTGTAAGTTTCTGGTTACTTTATTTATTGTTATCTTGTGAATTTGAGAGTAAAAGAGCAAAAACAATTTACTTTTAAATGGTCCTTGGAACATTCTTGAATATCTTTAAGATGATGTAACTTTATTTGTAAGGAACTTAGCAAAAGAAAAGAAAAAGAAAACCAGGAGAGATATTATCTTAACCTTCAGGTGTGGAAAACAGGGAAGCTTGGCACATTTCAATAGCAACTAAGCAGTTCTTATCCACTTGATCATTTAATTACCAGGTGACATGTCCTTGCCTAAAGGTACTAGATCTTAGCTGACATCTTTGTCCAACACCTGTACAGGTAGGTATACTATAAATAAATTTAAAAAAAGCTTTATGTCATCTTGTATCATACACCCAATTTATTTACTTTTCTAGGTTAGACGCATATGAGAGGAATGCAAACTTTTCTGAAGAGCCAATATTTGTACCGAAACCAGATTTTGTGGAATGGCCAAATACAGGCTTCAAGACCCTCAGACAAGAACATTCAGAGCAACTACCTGCAATTTTCTTGGGGCCAATAGAAGGGTATTTTTTGCATCACCAAGTTGCTGAGAGAACCGTGAAAGACATAAAAGCATTAGAGAAGGGAAGGAGGTTATTGCAATCCAACCGCATTTTAACTGTCAGTGTGTGCTTCAACAAGCCCAGCACATTTTTAACAGGAATTGTGAGAGCCGCAATGAAGAAGAAGGTAATAGACATTAACATAAACAGCTGCCTCTTATTTTTATAATTTTGTTTAAAGACATATGGTTTTTACACAAGGTTTGTGGCATAAAAGTAACAACACAGTAAGAATTTACCAAGCTATGTTGTAATATTATTTTACTCTGTACCATTTATAGGTGAGCTACAATATCAAGTTAAAATTAGGAAATCAGGGTGAGCCTGTTAACAGCCATTGTGAGTGTCCAGGTGGGATGGGCCCTCATGGAACATGCAAGCATGTCGCCTCCGTTTTGCTTTTACTTGTTCAGCTGACATCCACAGGTGAACTGGCCTTGACAGGTAGCTGTACTGATGTTCTGCAGACTTTTCACAAACCAAAGAAAGCTCATACAGGTAAAAAATATGGTAGAATTACACACTTAGAATAATTAATCATATTATAACTGGTCCATTTTTTTTTTATTTTGCATTAAATATAAACACTACAGTATATTGTTTTGACATGAAAGACAAAAGTTTTTTTGATATTATAAAAAAAAATCCTGGAGTTAACAACATTTTTCCTGTGCTTATCAATGTTTAATAAATCCATTTAAACATTCAAAGTTAGTCCCCTTTTTTCTAAAAAGTTCTTCTTGTTATAATCTTTTAAGAGATTAAAACAGAGTAAAGCCATCAATGGAGGTCATGTGACATGCTCAGATATCAAAATAATAGGTATATATAACTGCTGTTTTTCTTGTACAACAGAATATATTTTTTTCTATGAGTTGTTCACCATGTTTTTATGGGAAAATATAGATCTCATATTAAGAAATATTATCCCTTTATTAAATGTATTTATTTTCTTCATAAGGTTCTCCAAAGAAGGCCCATGATATTGGGGGCAGTGCAGACCACCGCTTTCAAGACCCCAGGCCAGCCAAATACAGAAACAAGGCAGGATATAATGATTATGTCAGGAACCTGACCTTTCATTTTACTTCGGTGTCAAGGATTGATGTGGCTACCAGATATGCATACCCGAAAGCCAACTTACAGGCAGCAGTGATGGACCATGACTACTGCCAAGTGCCATGGACAGAATACATCGTGGATAGAGGGAATGATGTAAGTAAAATCAGAGGTCTAATATTAATAATCAGGCCCAAACATGATAAATAATTATCAAAATAGGTGGTGTGTGACATCATAAAATTTTAATATTGAATGGAAACTAGTTAATGACATACCATGCTTTAATGGGCTATTGATATTTCAGGTTGAGGAACAAGCAGCCAAGGACATTGAACGTAGTACTGTGCAGCAAGGGAAGAGTGCAATCTGGCACAAGGAGAGAGAATGGAGGATCACTGCATCCAGATTTGGCGAAATAACAGCAGCAACAGAGAAGAGGGACATGAACAAACTGTGTGAGTCGTTGTTGACTCCAAAACCTCTGCACACACCAGCAATCCGGCATGGACAGGATTACGAGAAAATTGCAATACGCAAATTTGAAGAAAGTCAAAATCTCAAAGTTGAACAGTGTGGATTGTTTATTTGTCTGGAAGCTCCTTATTTAGGGGCCACGCCAGATGGTTTGATTGGTGTAGATGGCATTCTCGAGGTCAAGTGCCCATACAAAGGCAGAAACATGACAGTCGGTACCGGACCCAATTTCCCCTTCATTGAATGTGTATCTGGTGCCTTTCGCCTAAAGAAAACGCACAAATATTATGCTCAGGTACAAGGCCAGCTGTTTATTACGAAACGTTCATTCTGCTATTTTGTTGTATTTACCTTCAAAGATCTGTTTGTGGAGTTGATCCATTCCGACACTGAATATTTTTCAACATGCATTTTGCCCAGGCTCACTTTATTTTATGAGAAACACTATAGAAAGTATGTGGCAGCTAGTTTGTAGAAAGGATGAGATGGTTTTAGCTGCAATCAAGTGCCATTTTGAAAAACATGTAATTAAATCAAATGATATAGTGGTGCAAACTTTAGAGCAATTTTAGTGCAATGAAACAAATTGGTGCAATATTATTTAGAATACAAAACAAATGTGGTTGTGCTTTTTTTTCATATTGTTACTGTAATGAAATGGTGCTATATTCTTTACAAAAAGTACATATATGGTTGTGCTGTTTTTTATACTATTTAATGAAAATATATTATGCTATTTTGTAAAGTATTTTTAGTAGGATGAGATAATTTGGTAGTGCTATTTTATTTACACCAAATTATTTAGTTGTGCTTCTTTTTTAATGAATTTCAAAGTAATGAAATAATATAGTGGTTCTATTCAAGTAAAATAATTCAGTACTGTCATTTCATAATAAGAACAAACAAAATGTGTACATTTGTAAAATATTTGCTTACTTTAAATTTTATTTCTCAAACTTATAGAAAGATTTCCATACCTGCAGTATTTCATTGGTTGAGAAATTACAGCTATGCATTCACGAAATTTGGTACACAAATAAATTATAACTATTACATCGTTTCATGACTCTTACTTTGGACTGAACGGTTATTTCTATAGAAAAAATAATTTTTGTATTTAACATCACCTGTCATTCTCATTACATCAATAGAAAAAAATCAATAATACAACCTTGGTAGCACTTATGCATATTTACTAACAATAGATCTTCTAAAATTGGACATCAGAAAACACACTTTGATAATCATACCTCCTAGGGGCACTTTCTTGCTATGAAGCTCTCTTTTCAAAATTTTATAAGTTTTGCCAAGACCAATTAACCTTTCTACATGTATTCTTTTTGAGGCAACTCGTCTATCTCTAATCACTGTGTCTGGTTCAAGTTGTGACTTGCCTTTTAACATAGAAGGTGTGTTGACATGGACATCCCGTCCAGCAAACAAATCTTGAACCATTATTCCTCTGTCAGCCATTATGCTGTCACCAGGGCAGAAAAGGGTTTTATCTTGCAGCAAAGAGGATCTTTCAATGATCTGTCTGTCACTTGTACTCCCTCCATAAGCCTCACTTACATATGTACACACGCCCCTTGGACTGCAACCAACAACAGCCTTTAAAGTGTTGCGGTTTTTGTAAGTAGAAAAAGTGGCACTTTGATCTGCAACATTGTCAGGTTTGTGAATAGGGATTTCTGTAGCATCTAAGATCACTCTTGTTTTAGGGAATTTTGCTTTGAAGTCTGTAGGCATGTGCTCCTGAACAGTCTGTTTATCAGGCCAAAAGTCTATTTCTGACAGCTGATAATACATAAATACTACCCACGTGTTAACTATCTTCGAAACCGTAGATGAAGAAACTTTAAACAGGAAACCAAGGTCCTTATCATCTTTGGCAAGACGAAGCTTGATGAGGGTTAAAAAAAGGTGATCCTCAACAGAAAGAGATTTAGATTCATAATTCAAACTGTATGCAGCTGGACCAAGCACCTTCAAAAAAAAAGTAAAATGTTCATAGTTCTCAAATCCTGTATAGTACATAATGGCATCTGGGTTGTCTACAAATTGCTGCACAGAATATTTGCTTCCAGCATCCGTCAAAATGCTGCACTGCACCCCGGCCTGCACAGGTTCCTCTGCCTTTACTATTTCCTCCGCCTCCACTGCATCACTGATCTCTCCTGGCTCTGTCACGATGACTTCTTCATTGCCGATATCTGGCACAGGCACATTCTCCAGCAGTAATTCTGACCGCTTCTGGGCTCTTTCAGCTCTAGCAGTGACAGATGGATCTGCATTGTTGGCTTTCTCAACAAAATTGAATATTGTTGGCACTGCTGTTGATTTCAAACATCTATAGTTACCTGCAATATAAATTAAAACTTAGTTTTCTTGCAAGGCATTCAACAAGAGGATGCGTATTTTATCATTCACTTTTAGCATCAAGAAAATAATGTAATCAACTTATTTAACTAGTTACTTGCCTTCGCTTAGATAGTCAGGATCCAATATAAGTTATACTTGAGGGTAACCAATGTTTGATTTCACCTATCCAATCAAGGAAACGGTCTTGAAAGCGTTGGTGCAAATTACATAATAATAAAAGTGCAAATGACGGATCCTTGCCCCCCTCCCCTACAAGTGCATTAAAATCTATTACTAATGAAGATAAATTTAGATAATAAACAACATATCCTTACCAGTTAATGTCTCTCTATAATCAGAAGGGGTGAAGTGCTTCGCACACACCACACTGTATCGACCAGGATTCCAAAGGCGTTTTGTTTTTGAGCAAACGCGATTAATGGCCACCCTCCACTTCAAACGAAGCCCTGAGTCCTTAGGAAAATTGTGCCCACCTTGCCGACTTTTACATTCCGGTACACAACAATACTGAGGCATGTTTATTACGAGCAATGCCGCAGTCCCATGTGTATTATTCGTAATATGGCGACTGTGGAAGAACTTCCGGGACTGAATTCACACTAGCGACACCTGGCGCCAAGCGGGATGGTATTCCCCATTACCTTTCTCGATACCTTCTATCATTTCTGCAACTTGAAACACAGCAGGTAGTCATTATTTGTGTTCAAGAGCCTTCGCGCCATGAGTTCACGCTCTTCCCCCCCCCCCACAATGCAGTTCGAGTTTCCTGTCGACGTACAACTGTAAAGTGAAGAATGCATCGCTTTTTCACCAAACCTTTCCGTCCCTAAGGTTTCCCTAACCATCTAATTACTCTTATTATTATTTTATTTTTTTTTTTTTTTTGGGGGGGTGTTCTTTTACTTTTTCAATCCTATATAGCATACATGGTCTTAGACACGTCATGAACATCTTTCTAGTGGCGGATTTAGAGGGGGAGTCAGGGGGGTCCTGACCCCCTTTCGATTTCTGAAAAAAAAATCACAGCAATGGTCCCCTCTTGAAATTATAATTTTGACTAGATGAATCATAGTTCTAAACCGTACCAATTGGCACCACTTGCCCTCTTAAATACCAATTTTTTCAGGGCCCTT